TTTTAATTTATTTAATTTATTTTTTTTTATTTTTTATTTCGTTCATCTTATTCAACTTTTAATTTAGATTTTAGATTATTTTTTTTTATTCATCCCCCCTTTCCCCCCCTTTTCTTTCCCCCCCGTTTATTTTTTTTTTATTATTTTTAATTTCGTCTTTATTTGGGATTGGGATTGGGATTTGGGATTTTTTTTCGATTCTAACTCCCATAGGTTATAACTCAATGGGCATTGGGTGTTGTCCCAAATCCCATAGGTATGGGTAACAAGTATAATCCTGACGGTTTGTTTATTTATTCACACGCTAATCGAAAAAAATTTTTTCTCACACTCCCACACTCACTAAATTTTATCCGTATGTCTACCTTTTCTGCAACAACTATTTCGAAACATAATGACGAAGAGAAAAGTAAGTACATACGACTGCGTTAAATCTATATCAATTTTCTCAGTTATTAACTTTTGTCTGCAGGAAGGAAGAAGATATTTAAGATACCCAAATTTTTGAAGTTCTTCGGAAAGAGTGGTTCAGGTTTTTGTCATTATTAAATATTCCAGAGTCATTGAACGAACGATTTCATTCTCAATAAACGTTTAATGATACAGCTTCCAACCCTCCTGAGGCACTAAATCCGACTATGAATGTAATTTCCAATCCACCTGAAACAGTTGAGTCCCTTCGCAAATATGAAAAAAGATCAGGACAAGATCAAAAGTTTCTGGGTAAGGTTGAAAATTTCTCTGAATGTACTAGTAATATATATTGCAGTTACCTTGATATTGTTTCTAATTAATGCCTTTGTAGATCGTGTGGGCCAGAACTTCAGGTGGCCTGCTTCAATGAATGAGAACGACAGAGACACGGCATTCATTTATTTGACTGACGAATATGCCCTGGAATTTGATGACGAAGCAGGGCTCAACCTTATCTTCTTCTTTGACAATATCGATAAAGGAACATTTGATGAGCATAAGGACGACTGGGTGTTGGTGTATAAACTAGAAGTGAAGAAATACGGATCAGAATATACGAGCAAGGAATTAGTTGACCTCGAAGAAAAAATGCCTGGCGCGATATATTTACCAGTTGATATTTTGCGTCATAATAATGCTACGAAACCTCCACCAGAAAGAACAGTGTCTGCTCATCGCGCTAATCAGGAACACATGGTCTGAAATATTTGTCATTGTTGCAAATCAGTACCAATCAGTACCCATTTCAGTGTCATTTAGTGCAAAAATTAAATATGTTTTTTTTTTATATTTACAATAAAGATTAGAGTAAAGGTTAGAAGGTTAGGAACCACAAAGACAGTTACACTCGAGCTTAATTTTAATGATCCCGCCGAAGGTGGTAAACTTTATAAGACTGTAATTGCTTCAGGTACGCAAGAAACGACCCTTCCTTACCATGTTCGTCGTGTGCTTGGAAGAACGGGATGGCAAATTAGAAAAATCCAAGCAAACGGATATGGATACCCTGCTTATGTTTATTATGCAACCACAGCATTTGAAATTGCTATCGGAGATAATAACGGATGGAGTAAGTGGGTGAATACAAATACACTCAGAGTTTGGCAGTCGGAACCCGGTGATCACATAGACAGTTCTCTTGTTGGAACTGATGTCCTCGATCAGTTTTCCTTCGTACACGAGCCAAATCAAGGATTTAAATTTTTAAGTGCAGCTGACGAGGTTACTTTTAACCAATTATTTGGCTAGTCTTCCATAAAATTCGTAGATCTAGTAAATTATCATATATAAATAATATAACATCAGTTTTCTTTCTATACAAATTTTAATGAGAAAGATCTTTCACAGTCCCGGCTATTGTTGGGATAAAATCGATTATGTAGTGAGAGAGGTTTGTCGTTGAAGCGTTTGTTCGCATATCACATGACCGTAAAGTTAGTGGCACATGTTAAAAATTTTATATATATGTAAATCGTAACGATGTGATTGGCTGGTTTTTAAGGAATAATATTTATATTCGGGTCGTCGGGTGAGTTGAGTATTGTAATGTATCAGTTGGAAGTAAAAAAGGAGAAGATGCAAAGAAAAGACATAAAATTCAAGTAAACCAAGAAATGACTGTTAATACCACTAGGGAATGGTTTCGGAAACTCATTGTTAAGTCCGGAGCACAAGTGTAACGATGCCAAGTTGTCCTAATTAAATTTTTAGCGCGATATTCATAACTTCATAATTTTTATGCTGTAACTTCGTTAATTTCGTTGTTTTAATATTTTTATTTATTTTTATTTTTCCGATTATTATTTTGCGTTTATTTGAGTTGAGACAACACTGATTAATAATTTTATTGAATAACATTTACATCATAATTATTCAATTGCTTACATTTAAAATATATAAATACATAAACGAAAGAAATGAATACAACAGCATTATATTTCGAAGTCACGAGATAAAATTTTTATTATAAAACTTTTTTGATTAAAATTTAAAAGTGACCCGGTCGGATGACGTGAACCGAAAAATTCTAATGTGCGTTGCCTAATAAAAAAATAATTAACAGAATTATAACTTACATGAGACATAATTAATTATTTTTAATTCAGACGATTATTATTTTTTTACATTGGAACAAGGACAAAAGGTATTAATATCTTTAATCAATTTTTCCTTGCAGAAAATAACTTAAGGAATTGATTCAATATAATTAATATAATTTCATGAGGGTAAGCGTTAGTTCCTAATGAATTTTTTGTAGTCAATTCAATTTTACAGTGTCCAATTTTAAATTATGCGTCCGAAGCGTCTCCCAATTCACAAATCTCAAAATATATCACTTAAAAAAGTATTATGTAAACAAAATGCACACTTCAATACGTTACACCTGATTTCAGTTTCTGATTGGCCATATCACGCGTGCGGACAAAAAAACACATGCATGGTTTGCAGTAGAATGGAAGTGTCTTATGCTTACGCTTCGGACAATAAGTAAAAATTTTTTGTTTTTTTATGAATTTCTAAATCAATTGCGGCTTATCATTCATCGATTTTCCGTTGAGAATCCTTTTACAGAGCCTCAAAAGTTTATGCATATTTTTTTTTTTTCAATATTTATTGAGATTTTTATTAAATAAGAAATAAAGTTATATTAATAAAATTTCTCTTTAAACTAATTATTAAGATATATTATTAAGTGGAAACATAGGATTTTAGTAGCATCATTGAATAGTATAAATTCCATATTTATTGCCTTATGATGGGTTTTACATTACCGAATTTTCGGACTTCAAAGAAAAGCTTTACAACACAGAACAATCTTCAATATCATGATTTATTTATAGAATTCTTATTCAAAACCTGGATCTACAAATATTTTTATGGTATTGGAAGCTCACGTCCATTTAATGACGTTTTTATTCTTTATGGGGATTTTCAAATATTTTTTATAGGAATAGGACAATATGTTGATATGATTATTTCAAATTTTTAATATTTTGTATAATAATTATTTGATATATATTTAATAGGCGCAATATGATGATTGCGAAGTAATTTATATTGACGTTCAAGATTATGAGGATATGCAGGAACTACGCGTATGAATCAAAATGATATTTACTAGATGCTTAGATTGTATAGTCTATGATGATGTTGAATATTCATTCTATTCGAAAAAAGGATAATACAGATAAAAAATAAATGAATTTGACATCGCCTTTAAAACATGATGATCGTTATGCTGACCAAATTATAAAAAAAAAAAAAATATTCCTGATGCAAATGATAAAAGTTACATCCATTTCACTTAGGAATAAATTTTGAAAAAATTTTCAATTTGGTCCCTTTTACCAGTATTTGCAGTACAAAATTCAGCTATGAACCCCTTTAATCATTTTGACTCTCATGTAAGGTTGCCGGGCAAAACCCGGAGGTTTCGACAGGCATCGAAATCGAAACCCATCGAAACGTTTTGCCAAATT